AAAATAGTAACAAACATACCAGAGCCTTGAAATTAAAACCTGTTACATTTACCTCTCTTAGCCCCCAGTGCACCTGTGGAGTGTCTGTCAGCAGCCTTGCTCCGTGTCCTATGCAGGAACATACAGAGCAGGGGGACTTCACACTTAATTTCTTTGGTTTTCTGGTTAAGTTTTATGTTCAGGGGGCCCAGAGCTGTTCCAGTGAGTGTTTCTGGATCACTGGTATCAGTTAGCCCTGCAGACTGTGCTGGGAACGAGCCACACTTAGTGGTAATTTGGTCTTTATAGCTTCCAGAGACTTCACTGTTTTGCATATGTCTTACACTTGGCCTTCTGTCCTGCTAATTGACTTGTTTCACAGGCTCTTGTTCCTCTCATGAATCTCTGTATTGCAATAATCAGCTTTTTCCTTCCTGCTCTGCATCCCCCAACAGCAATCGTTGCTGCCTTTGCTTCATCTCTCTGTTTTCTGTCTCACTCAATATCCTTTCTCCTCCATCTCTTTCTTCAGTCAATATTTTTCATTTAGTCTGTTGCTTCCTCTTCTGGCCACTTTGTATCTTAATAGAGAAGAGGCCTAATATGGAATTCTGTGGTGCTTGACTGCACCATCTGGGTGGCTGATAACTCATTCCTTAAGACAAGTCACTGTCAGGTCTTGCTGTATATTTGCAGCTTATAAATAGGTTAATAATATGAATGTGGTGTTTCCTTTTGTCAAAAAAGTATACATTGATGCAAGAAAATATGTGTCAAATCAGGTTTCCCCTGCCTTTTTTCCCACCCCATCCTGAAGGTGGAAAGAGGAATGAACCAGTATTAGCTCTGACTCTGAACTAGTGCTGGTTACTTTGTGGAAAACACAAAGGTGAAATTCTTCTAGGATGGGAGCAAGACAAATTCCTGCCTCCCAGCTGGCAGACTTCAGTAGACACAGGGAGTCAGTCAGCAAGATCTGGTCTGGATCTGAAGAGAAAAATAAACAAAATTAAGAAGAGAAGTCCAAGGAAAACTTTATTCAAGCTGCATGTAATTTTGAAAGCTCTCCCTTTCAGATGTTTAGAGAAATAGCAGTAAAATATTTGTTCAGACCACTGTCACCGACGGGCAGAGCCTCGGAGCTGGTTGCACTGTTACAGCAGGACCAGCAGAGGGAACACGGATGTTGCTTGTAGGACTGCAAAAAATCAGGATGCAAAAAAAGTCTTGGAAGCAGTAATGAAATGCAGATATTTTAAATACTGATGTTTCAGTGGCAGCTATTCTACTGTCATCCCTTGTATAATACTTTTCAAGTGATCCTTCTTCTCCCTCTCCACTTCTTTTACATTTTTTCCCATTGCTGGTTTTGTTTTGTTTCTGTTTCCTCTGTTTGCTGCTGGATGTGTTGGCTGGAATATTTTATTGGGCAGGAGACAGTATAATGTTCTTTTTAAAGCGGGCTCCTTTTTATTCATAACTTTTTCTCTCTAATGTACAGCATTTTATGGTGCCATGTATCCTTTTTTTTTTGTTGTTTTTTTTAAGTTGTGCATTCCAAAACCTCTGTGCTGTAGTTTCCATGACTTGCTGGAAGAGCTTGGTTTCAGTCCCAGTCCGTTCCCTGCAATGTGCTCCATTTGCAGAAGTAAGACACAAATGCACCGTGTGATTACAGAATTGGCCACGTGGTAGTAGTTCATTAGTGAACTGACATATGGTAAATGCCATAATAAGACACAGAAAAATTAAGAATACTCTGAACATGGCTGATATTGGTGAACAGTTTATTCTGTGGCACTGATACATGAGGAAGGGGTGAAGGAGTCCAAGACAGAGCAAGTTGACCATTGAGATTCTGTTACCAGAAGCAAAAGACAGGAAAGAAACCCAACTTTCTTCTTTCAGCTGTGGGAATTTGGAGTGAATTAAATTATCAACTGTGATGGGCCTGTCTGGGGTGGACCTTTTAAAAAGCATTGCAGAATTTCCATGTGTCAGTGGAGCAATTCCCGTCGCTACGTCGGACCATCTGATCCGGCGTGACAGATTCTTTAAATGAACATGATATGCCAAATGAAATAATGGGCACAAATTGAGCTTGCATCTTGAGTTTATTCATCACTTAATAAATTATTTCTTCAGCAAGCTTTCAATTACCAGGAAAATGGAAGAAGCAGATGTCTCGGGCATCAAATATCCCAGCGTCGAGCGTTCCATTTGTCTCGCTGTTCCGGGGCTGCGTGGAGGTGAAGGGATAGCTTGAAATTTTATGCTGGGAAAGGCTGACTGGAAGACAAGTCATTTAACTTGTCATTAAACATGATGGAACAGGCTGATGTGACCCGTGAGACAATTTAAATTATCGGCTTCTAATCCAAAGGTAGAAGTGACCTGCCATGCAGATTTGGCTGTGATGGATTATTGATGGTGTCAAAATTGTGGAAACGGTGCCATTCTCTTTGTGGCTCCTTGTTTGTTTGTTCTGACCAATGTTCTCCAAATGTGAATAAAAAAAAGATTTAAAAAAAGGATGGCTGCAGTCACCTTTACAACCTCTGTCCCCCTGTGGCTGGGACCATCTTGGCTTTGGCACCGGATAGTGAGGCTATTCCAGCTGCCACAGGGGAGCTGAAGATAGGAGGTTTTATATCCATCCTTCTTTTTAGCTCCTGCACCAGGAGCTGGAAATGTAGTGAAAACTCCTCTTCTACCACAGGAACATTAATTTACATTTGCCTGTCACTGCCAGAGGCGCCAAATAATCGAACTTGTTGGCTCCTCTCCCAACCCTGCTCTTATGTAATAGTGTAGTGCAGAATAGATAGAATCCTCCCCAGCTCGTTCAGATGAGTTTGATGCCATTGTTGGATAAATCCAGATAATCTTGGTTCCTCAGGACGTTGCCATGCTGAGTTGCTGACGTGGGGCTGCAGCACTGCCACGTTCCTGTCCAGAGCTGCTCCCTCCTCGTCTGTTGTGAAACGATTTCTGTGCAGTGTTTGTAGAGTGCTTTGATATCCTCCTTAGATGAAAGGTGTTATATAAATGCAAATTTCGTTCATTTCATTTCGATTTCATTTAATAAATAAATATATTGTTCAGGTTTTAGTGGGAAGGGCGCTCTCAGACCGAAGGCTGCATCTGTATTCTGGATGTACCTGTGGAGAGAGGTTAAGGCCACTGATTGTCTTTCAGAGCCCAACAGAATTAATTTTCACTTGTACAAAAACAGATTTTGCAGGCTGAATAATAATGAAATAAGTGCAGAATCCACTGGCTCTGTTAAATTGGGTTTCTCATCCCTGCAAGTAAGGAAACAGAGAAAGGATGCATTCCTCAATTAGCATTTTAAATTAATTTTTCAAGGCTATTTACAGAGGAAGCTGAAATTTTAATTAAAGTAGCAAATAAAGTAATGCACTCAAAAGCTTTATGAGATTCTTTTTTTCTGTCATACTGGAAAAAAAATAATCCAGTGCTTAAAGAAATGTTTTAAAGCAAGAAAAATTGCATTTGGAGTAAGGAACGAGACGTTTCTGCAAAATACTGCGGTTCTTTCAAAGAGTAAACGGTACTGGGGGATGACAGTGGTAGATATTTAATGTAAATGTGCCCTAAAAATGCTAAATATAGCTTATTTATTTGAAAAAGATATAGCCTAGTCATAGAAGTGATTCCTGTGAATATATTCCATATGGTAGTTAAATGGCATCTACATGGAGCTGCAGATAAAAAGGGATTTTTTTGGATTGATAAATGGGACTGTGTCCAAGAGAACAAGCGTGAAAAAGAAGAGAACCTTCTTTACACAAAACTAATTGGGGTTTTTTTAAACCACTTTACCACTATTAGAAACTTGCTCTCAGTAATTGGCAGCGCTGCTTCTGAGCTCTTCAGACTGCTTAGAAAAAGGTTGGTCTTTTTGATAATAGAAAACAAACTATGCAGTTCTCCTATTTCCAGTGAAATCTTGTGTGAATGGGAAAAGAAACTGGAACACTTAATAGTGTTGAAATAATTGCCTTAGTTCTTAATAGTTGAAATATATATGCTCAACAAATGATTAATGCAACTGCAAGCTTTTATTTTAATTACAGGCTATTAGTACCAGAAAGGAATTAATACTGTATAAATTAATACTTATAACTGAATATACATAAATGAATAATGCAATTATTTCACTTAAATATCTTGCTTTGAGTATCCATTTTACATTTATTGCAGCTTGGACACCAATGTAAATGGGCTTACTCAGAAAGTGCTTTGCAGTTTTAACTTACTGTAAATTTAGAGCAATATTCCTCCCTCCAGGTGTTCCCTGAAATAAAGTACTAAAGAACAGGACTGTTTTGTGCTCATGTGAGGCTGGGAGCTCGTGGAGGTGCCACATGGTTGGGGGTGAAGGGATGTGGGTGTGGGTGCAGTCTGGGAAAGGGATGTGGAGAGGGGAGCACGGACTGGGCATTAAATGGTGAGTTTTTTAAGAGTAGGAGTTGATTCAGTAACTGCCAGCAGTGACAACTCCTCCATGGCCTCTAGTACTCGTGTCCCTTGGTGGTTGCTTGTCATCCCTTAAACTGGGAAGGAAAAAAACCCAACCCCCCAAAAAACCCCAACCCCAAAGTCAGCGTTTACTTCCCAGCGGTGGCACTTGCTGTTGCTGTGCCTTCAGGTGCCAGAATTAAGTCCTTCTTAGTGGAATTTTATTCCCTGTAATAGTATTTTAAATTATAAATGAGCCATGCCTTGGCTGTGGTTCATCAGATGGGGTTTCCCAGTACAGCTCGTGCCTCTCAGTCATTTGGGTTTGGTTTCTAAAAACCTCTCCTGGTTTGTTAACTTAAGAGCCTCGAACTGATCCAAATATTCTTAGTTTTGTAACCCAAATACAGAGCTTGTTTTCTTTTGACAGTCAGAAGACTATTCTTGAGTGGTTTATGCTTACTGTGAGTGTTTAGAAAAGAAAGGAATGAGTGGCTGTTCCCATCTTGCTTCAAAACTTGTCTCTTGTCTTCCAGTTTCCTTTTGGCCGCCGCTTGCCCTGTGATATCTATTGGCATGGGGTGTCGTTTCATGACAATAATATCTTCTCAGGTCAAGTCAACAAGTTTCCAGGTACTTGACTTCTGTTTCTGGTTTAAACAAATACTTTAAAAACATGAATATTTGGACTATATCTGTGTTTTACTGTTTTTAATGAGAATTATCTGCCTAATCAGCTGATAGTATTTTTAGCATGTTACTGGGCTTGGTAACTTGGTGGTTTCTGCTTAGGGGGTAAGGATATGAGAATGGGTCTCTTGAACAGTTTCTGAACTGAAATTTGTTTTGGAGAGAAAGTGGTTTTGATGAGAAGAATACTTCAAACACATGAATTTAGGAAATATTGGAGTGTCAGGCTATAATTTAAGTGAAGTATGCAATTACTATCTGTTATCTGGTGCTGATAACAGTGCTGTATCTTTGGATTTGGTTTTGATTCAAAGTGGAAAGAATCTGTTTAGTTTCCTACTCTGGCTTATCTTGGGGAGAAGCTCGAAGCAGAATTCCTGAAATGGATTTTTTAATATTGAAGAGTTCATGTCAGTCCTCATCTTATGATGACTCTTCTACTTTTTTAAGCTCCTTTTTTCCCCATTTAATCCCTGTTGAGATCTCTCTAAATAAGAGCTAAGAGCTTAAGTATTGACTTATCTAAGCCCTTTACTTCAGATTTATTGCTGCTGTTAGTATTCTGTGAGCATAAGAACCTCGGATATCGAACTTCAGGCTTTATTTTACCTTGGCCTTCTCCTGCCTGAGGGAAGTTCCCACTCAGGTGTAGGATGCTGTTGTTTTATGGTGGTTTCAGTCAGTGTTAGATGAATGTTACCTGTCTGTATTCTGGCTTTTACCTGCTGAGCAAGGGGCTGCACAGGAGTCAAACCAGAGCCCTTCAGAACCAGACCCGATTTCCAGGAATGTTGTGCTAACTTGATGCTGGGTTTTATTAGAAGCTTTTCCATAAAAATAACACCTTAGTCATGTTCCCAATGGATATAGGATTTCAATAAATATAAATAAATAATAATTAAATATATATATATGTGAGTTTGTCTTGCTGTTCACAAAATAACCTGTTCTGTGAGATGGAGTTACTTAAATGACTGCAAAGTAAACAAAAAGTGGTTGATTATATTCAAATGGCATTTTTACACATTCCTAGAACAATAGGTAATAAAAATAATTTTGGATTATGGCAAAGACAACAGCTAATATTTGAGTGGAGTTTTCTGTCTTTGAGCCGTATTTTTGATAATTAATTTTTTTCTACTGTGCTGCAGTAACACAAATGATGGGAAATATGGCAGGGGAACACTACAACTATTTTGTCAGATTTTAAATTTTAAAAGGTGTTCAGCTTTATTGGCAGCAGTGACCAGAGTGCCTTCCCAGCAGGGTGGGTAATGATTAGCCATTTACTTCTAGGATGAGACTTGAGAGTGGATTTTTTGTCACTTCTAGACACTGTTCTTTTCCCAGGCATGATGGAGACAGTCCGGAAAATCACCCTGAGTCGGGCCATGAGAACAATGCAGGACCTGTTTCCTCTGGAGTATAACTTCTATCCTCGGTCCTGGATTCTGCCAGAAGAACTTCCCCTCTTTGTGGCTGAGGTAGATTACTTTTACTCTCAGAATAATACAACTTGTTGAATATTGTGTCCATGTAATTCTTTAGCCTTCTACCGGATTATTTAAAATCACACTAAGGGGTGTGATTATGAATGACATCTTTTCCAGTTTGTCTGGGATCAGTCATAGTCTGGATGAACTGCTTTTGTTTGTTATGTTCTGGAATAAACTTCAAAACAGTTCTGCTTCTCTGCCATTCCAGAAGAGAGGTCTGGAAGTTGAACCTGGTAGAGCCATAAGCCCTTTCCCTGCACATTCCACTGGCCTGAGGAGGTTCCAGAGCAGTGTGGGGAGTGTGGAGCTTCACCAGCTTCACTGGCACTGCAGTCTTTTTAGTCCATTTTGTATCAAAATCCTTCAGAAGAGCATTTTGTACTGTGCCTTGTTAAATACACTCACATCATCTCCTGTCAGACTGTTGTTGTATTTAACTATTTAGAATGTAATTAAATACCATTCTTTTTCAGCTTTTTGGAGGAAAAAAAAGTGATGCTGTGTGTTGGTGTTTTGTTCTGTTATTACAAATATTTTTAAAATACTGTGTGTGTTTGTTTAACCCTGTCTGACTCGCCCAGTGTCTTCTTGCATCCCACAGTGTGCTTTGCTTGGAAAAGTGAGGAGAAAAAGATCTGGGCTTTATCAGACTCCTGTACTCTGTGTTACCTTTTAGATAATTACCATATCCACAACCCAATTGAATCCATTAACATATTTTTATTATTTTTGCTTTTAATCAATTCTTAAAAAAATTATATTTATTGTTTTTATTCTTTTTAACACACTCCTCAAGCGTGCTGGGTCACTGCTAGGAACAGTAAAAATTAATAAAATCCCAACAGCACTTCAGCTTATTGCTGTACAAACTGTAGGACCCACGACGGGTCGAATGGTGGAAATAATTCGGAAGTAAACTTCGAGAAGGTTGCAGTGGGGGTGTGCTGGGGAGTTTTTTGGGAGGTGCAAGGCACTGCTGACTCGGGCAGGGCAGGAGGGGCCGAGCTGCAGGCGCCAGGCTCAGCCCCGTGCGCTGGCAGCAGGTGGCACTGCGAATAAACGCTGCTCTGCTTCGGCACTCACTGCCGGGAAAACGAGCCGGGTTTTCTTCCAAGAGTAACAGATGTCCAGTAACACACTCCTAGGAGTTTCCTTTGCATATGTTCTTCCATCTGTGTTGGAGAAAAGCATAGTTCTTGTTATCAAACATTATATTTTATGTTGTAAGAGTTTATGTTCTACTTAACACGAGTTCGGAGTGTAACCCCTCCAGAGCAAGGAGAAATACGAACCCAAACATTCCAAATCCACTGTGAACCATAAAAGGTTCAGAACACTTTTCACTTGCAGTTTTGGGAGTTCTCAGTAGGAGTTCTCTAGTCTTTTCTGTTGCTTATTTGTTCATATGTGGTGTTGTTTGCTTTGCAACTGAGGGACCCTAATGCTGCCAAAAACGTCAGCTCTCCAAGACTGCATTTCAGCTTGTTCACAGACAACAGGAGTTCAACACTGGTGGTGTCTGGAGGAGCTGGAATACACTGGAATATGAATTATCAAAGGTCACAAATCGTGTGTCAGTGCAGCTGTAGGTCACACATGAGAAGATGGTTTGGTGCTGTTTGTAATGTAGGATTTTGTTGCAAAGGACTGGACTGAAAATGAACACCTGTGAGATTTTGCCTGTAATAGAAATGATTATTGAAAGAAGAAACTCCTTGAGAATTTAAGTCTTACTGCCTCCCCGGATGCACTGCAACATTTCAGAATGATTTCTCTCTCAAATATTCTTATTGTGCCTCACTTTGGTAGTCATGATTGTGAACTTTTTCATACACAGGTATCAATAATGAAATCAAATGTTTTCAGCTTTTCCCACTTTCCCCTATGCCTAGATTCAGGTAGAAAACACTACAGGCAATATTAATCTTCTGTGCTGTGAAAGCCAGTAGTTGGTGAGAAAACTGCACTCTTGAGTTTGTGGTGGATGAGCTTTAGATTGGAAATAGCAGCAAAAAGGGAGTTCCCTTTGTGTCATTTGTATTGAAATGATGATGGGTATTTTCAACAAGGGCTTAAAAGTTCATTTTACTAAGTAATTATGTATTTAGTTATTTTCAATATTCACCAATTTTTAACCTTATAAAACATTTTCTACTACCATGTCACTTTAACAGAAGATGAGTTACAGATAAGCAAATCTCAGGTGCTGCAGTAGTTGCTCCTTCACTAGCAGAGAACAATCTGTTGGAACGTGTGTGCTAAGAACTTACTTCTAATAAACCCTAAATTCGAGTTTCTGAAAAGTAACTAGCTTGGGATTCAAACCAGGACCTTGATTGTTCTCATACTTCCTTCTTTGTGTTGTCTGTGAGAATGATGAATAGACCAGTATGATTAATTTTTAATAAGAATCTAATTTGGACAGTCTAATTTCTAGCATAGCTTATTTTTGGTGGTTTAATTAGGTTTTCAGCTTTTGGATACCTCTTAGGCATAGACATGAATATTCTGGTCTTTGTGCTGTCAAATCTTATAGCCCATTATATGCATTTTTCCCAGAACACTGTATTCATTCAACCTGTGTTTCCTTATGAAAGGCAAACCCACAGATTTTCCCCAAACTCTCCTCTTGCTGTTGACTGTAAATGGTTAATGTGTTTTTTAAAGATAATTTCCTTCTGTCAAGCAAAGGACACAGAAATATCTCATTTCATATGAACTAATTTTCCTACACGAGTGAATTTTCTAAGTCTGGACAAGCCTCCTCATAATGAGAATTTGAAAGAATGTAGTTGAGGGGATTGTGGAGAATTTGAAGACGACTGTTGGGAATTTCCTTGAAGATCAAGAAACCATCTGTTTTCTTCAAGACAGTCAATCTGCTGAAAAACAGACTGACTCTGGATTAATATTCCCCCTTTCCACACCAGCCTATCTTCATCTGCCACGTGTAGGTTTTGATGGACGAGAAAGCCTGAATAATGTCCAGGCCATCTAGTCCATCAAAAATGAACTAGAAAGAGATGGAAAAAATTATTTTCTTTTTATTTTAAGAGTAGAGTTAAGCATGAGATCTCTTGAGACCAGTGGCTGTTACAATGCAGTGTTTTTGAAAAGCAGGTTGCTGTTGCATCTTTAGCAATAATCCCTGGAAAGCATCATCTCCTGTGGAAAGGTGCTGCTGGAGCAGAGCAGGAGTAGCCTGAGGGGTGAACAGCAGACGTGGGCCTGGGGGGCAGATTGTTCTACCTGGTTTCATAGAGGTTCTGTGTAACTTTCTGCCCTGGTAGACCACGATTGGCAGTTCACACATCCAACTAGAGTCATATCAGGGTGTGTTTAGTCATGGAGGGTTCAGATTAACCAGGTCTGTCTCTGCGATGCTGAGTTTAACAACGGTGAACCAGAGAACTCCTCTGCTCTGCAGAGTAATGTCACATCAGGGGAAGATTATTCTATAGTGGTGAAAAGACTAGGGCATAAATCCTGCTTTCCTTCTTTGCACATCTAGGCCTGCTGATCTACTTGGACTTATTTATCCATGTGCCATTTATGTAAGCCTGACCTCCAACTGAGGCATTTTATCCCTCAAAGTGACCTATTTTGGAGAAGGATCTTTCACTGAGTCAGTGTGACACCTGTCCATGAGAAAAATCCTAGTCTGGATAATGGATCTTGAGTTTCTCCTGCAGGAGTGTGACTCTCAATGAAATAAATAACTGGATAGGGTGGAGCCAGAAGTCCTTCAGACCTTGGGAATGTCATTGCTGGCAGAGCTGGGCCTCTCATGGGGGTCGGCAGCTTAATGTCACAGCAGAGAAAATCACAATGATCTGACCACGCTCAGCCTTTTTCTGTGGGCTCATTTTTTTCCTCTCACTCTGCAGTGCCAGGCCTGATGGTGGCAACTGATTGTTTTTTCTTTGTTAGCTTGTGTCCTCAGGCTTCTAAAAGTCAATCTCCAGTTGTTGCTGGCGAACCGCAGGGCAAAAGCAGATCTCCGCCTCGGTTCAGCACGTGCCTGGCTGGAGGGAGAGAGTAGCAGCTGCAGGTCTGGTGCCCTGAAATGTGTGAATGCAAGAAAAGAATGATCTGTGCTGTGACATCCCTCCCTCTTGAAAGGACGAGGTTTTTAAGTGCTTTATTCTTCTGAATCCCATGAGTAGCTGATAAACCCGTAACCTGCATCCTGTGTTTTCTTTAACTGCTTTCTTTGTTAGGGCTCCCCTTGGTTTCTCAGCTTCACCTCTGCTAACTGAGGCATCTCCATCTCTGCAGTTCTGACTTTTGCTATACAAGTAATAAATTAAAGTTTATTTAGGCAGTGGGAAATACGTATGTAACATGAAAAATCTGATACTCAGCAGATGTGTACATGGCTCAACATTCCCAGTTTTACTACCACTGGGCATCTGATTGTGAAAAATATTCACAGTGGGGGAAAAAGGTATTGTCAGTGCAAAATTTTACTTTATTTTTCCTTCTTCTGGTACTGTTTGCATTCATACCTGAATAAATAAGGCATCTTTCCTTATGTTAATGATTATCTTCGTCAGTTATTGTTCAAAATGTAGCACAAAAGTTCAACTTTGCAGTTTCATATACTACTAAGGTGGATCTCCTGAGATAAACCACGTTTCCTTCTGCAAATTGGTACAGAACATTAAAAAGAAGTTCTTGAAATCGTCTATACAATGGCTTGTTAAATAAAATGACTTTTTATCTGTACTAGTAATTCCCTACTCATGCTTTTTTGTTTCTCCTTGTGCTTCTCAGCACTGTTTATCATCTGCCCTTTTTGCATGGTGTTTACTACTCTGGGGGTGTGATCATGCTGTTTTTATTTATTTTTGTTTACTGGCTCTCACAGTGTCAGCCCTTCTTCCCCCCTCAATCAGTGCCTTTCAGTGCAATACTTTTCCTTCCAGGTTCGGGTGATGAAGGACAGCGATCCATCCTGGAAGCCCACTTTTATTGTGAAGCCTGATGGAGGCTGCCAGGGGGATGGAATCTACCTCATTAAGGACCCCAGTGACATCAGGCTGACGGGAAGCATCCAGAGCCGGCCAGCCGTGGTCCAGGAATATATTTGCAAACCACTGCTCGTGGACAAACTGAAATTTGATATTCGTCTTTATGTCTTGCTGAAATCCTTAGAACCCTTAGAGATTTATATAGCCAAAGATGGACTTTCTAGGTTTTGTACGGAGCCCTATCAAGAACCCACTTTAAAAAATTTGCACCAGGTTTTTATGCACTTAACCAACTATTCACTAAATATCCACAGTGAGAATTTCATCCATTCTGACAGTGTGAACACTGGCAGCAAGAGGACTTTTTCAAGCATTCTGTGCAGACTGTCTTCCAGAGGAGCTGATGTCAAAAAGCTCTGGTCAGATATAATTTCACTGGTGATTAAAACTATTATTGCACTGACTCCAGAACTGAAAGTTTACTATCAGTCTGACATCCCGTCAGGAAAGCCTGGGCCAACTTGCTTCCAGGTAAGTTGGAATTCCTGCAGTTATTTCTATGCATGGATTAATTTTGTGGGTGTTTAATGCCTTTTCCAAAATGTTTCTTTAGTGATGTTGCTGATCACTGGTTGGGTGTCTGTGTGTGCACACACTGGGCAGCATTGTGGGAGCTCAGAGCTTGTGTTCTCCTCGCCCAAGTCAAACCTCAGTCTCCTGACCTGTGTTACCATCAGCCCTAAACATATATGGAGGATTTTCAGTGGGTGTAATTTGTCACTGACATTATTCACTCCAGTTTCCATCTTCTGTGTGTTAGAATTGAAGATTTGCAGCTTCCTAATGCATCTGTAATCGTGGCAATTTGAAGATCCACTTGTCACGGGTGCCAAGATTCCGTGTTGGCAGATGCAGTATTTAGGGATGGGGGTGGTGTGAAAGGAGCCATTAGTATCCAAGACAAATGGCTTCTGTAATTATTCAGCAGTATATAGAGTTTCTTAGTTGTTTATCTCCTGCCCCTCAAATGTTTCTTCCTCAGTGTTGCCATATGGACGACCATTGCATTCTCTAGGAGAACACTGGGAATAGAACTGAAGTAACATATTGCTTGTTATGCACAGATTTTAGGGTTTGACATTCTCCTGATGAAAAACTTGAAGCCCATGTTACTAGAAGTAAATGCAAACCCCAGCATGAGAATAGAACATGAGCAAGAGGTAAGACTTCTCAATGTGATAGTGATATTGGAATGAAAGTGCTTAGGTTGGGTTTTCTGGGCTTTTTTTCCATGTTTGAAAGATGAAAGCTGTCTGCTAATATGAAACCTCCAAGGTTCTCTGTAATTTTCTGCTTTGAAATCATTGCTAATCTTATACACTGCAAATATGACTTATTGGAATAGTGAAAGCTCTCCATCATCTTTGTCATAAATGCATTTATTCATCATCCCCTGCAGTTGCTAATTGTGTTTAGGGGATTGGTAATAGTCTTTTTCATGTTTGTATACGTGATATAAGCAGTAACATTGGCAACAATGTTTTTTTTAATATTTCAATTTCCCAGAGAAATTTGCCCCAATTTGCTGTAACATCATACTGAAAACCTGACAGTGTTTGTGTATCCTTGAAGAAGTATTTTGTAATCCATCATCCTGTATTTAAAATATAGATGATGGGCGTGAAGTTTGAGCAATAATGTGAGCAAATAATCCTTGGTTCTGTGGTGAATAATTGTTATCCCTTTGTGATGTAAAGCTTTCTCCTGGAGTATTTGAGAATGTCCCAAGCCCTGTTGATGAAGAAGTGAAAGTTGCTGTCATCAGGGACACTCTGCGCCTGGTGGACCCCCAGAAAAAAAAGAGGAAAGATGCCCAGTAAGTGTGTTTGATTTGCTGTGGGGTTTGCATCTGTACCTTGCAGTAAGTATAACAGTGAAATATTTTTTTCCCAGTTGTATTAGTTTATCCAGGACACTGAGTTCCCACCTTGGCACTGCCCACGTGCTGCTCTCCTGCAGAAATGGTGGAAGTTCAGGAGGAGCCGAGGCTTTAGCTGAAGGAACTGAAAAGTTCCACAAGCTGATAGAAAATCAGGATTTATCAGTTCCCCTGGAGTATTTTACTCTTAACTGGTGCAAACAGTTTAGTAAGTCAGATTTATTTATTTGTACTTGAGGCCTCTTTTTTTTATTCAAAACAGTCACGAGCTGTAAGTTTGTTTATTAATTTGCTTGAAAGTCACAAATTACTCTGAATGAATTGCCCCATTGGAGCTGAAAAGTATTAATATTGTATTTAGAAATTGCTTCCTTGATCTGTGATAATAAACATAGTTAAATCTGTGATCTAGAAATGAGAGGAGCTGCCTGAAGCAGCTTGCACAGGAATGCCAGTGGTGGGATAAGGCTGAGAGAAATCACATCTTCTTTTTTGATAAACCACCTTATTTGAAGCAGTTTCTTGAAGACATGAAAGGGAGATTTTTTTATTATTTTTTCCCCAGAAATTCTTGCTCACAGGCCTGCCTCCATACTGGAATATCTGCTTTGTTCTTCTCTTGGCACTTAGTGGGACCCTGAAATATGTTATTCACATTCTATAATGATTTGAAGTGCAGATTTGCCATCCTTTTGTAGACTGAGTTCCATGAACAGGACATGACTGATACTACTTACAAGTTCTGTAATATTATTATAAGATCAAACTCTTCCTTCAAAGGCAGTGCCACACATAGAGGTTGCTGTGGTCAGTGTACAGAACGTTTTGCAAAGCAATTTATAGCTTGTACTTAACCTCCACCCTTAAGATTACTTCAGTGCATGGAGCTGAAAAAGATCATTTTTTAACCTGTAATTATGTAACTAGTCGTGTCTTTTTCTTCTGCTGCAGTTATGTCAGGCATTCATTAACTACATATTAGATATGGAAAAAAAGGCAAATGATAATTACAAATAAATTGCTGGAGGATGCCAGTGTGTGTGGAAGGCTCATTCAACTGAGGATTCTTCTCTGATACATTTTGAGTGCTAAATAATTTACAACAGGATTAGTTGGTGATGAGATAAACCATTGGCTCTTCACAGCAAGAATTCATCAGTGACGCAGCTTTTTTTCCAGATAATCTGGTTAACAGAGCATCTTGTTGATGAATATTTCTGTGTCTTCACCATAAATCAACCCTATTTCTTGCTGCAAAGGGCAATACCCTGGTAATTTTTTTGTGTGGATGTGCAGGAACTGGAATGACAACTGACCACCCTTCAGCTGAGATTTACTCCCTCTGCTTCCAGGTTGAACTGGGGATGGTGTGTGGAGCTTCCTGAGTAAAATTTGGCTTATTGTTAGAAAAAACCCTGAAAGAATTCCTGTTCTGACATCAGCAAACATTGTAGACTCAAGTTTTGATGCCAATTAAGTAATGGACATTAATCTCAGTAAAGTTTTAGCAATATGTGTAACACAGAGTTTGAACACACAGGGGAAATACTGAAAGGTCTGAGCTGCATCTCAGGTAAATATTCCGCTGTGGAGATGGATTTGATTTCCTTCTAATTATCTCCCAGATTAAAATAAATGAAGCATCTAAATGAAAGTGAGTTTTAGAAGTCATCCTGAAGTACTTCATTATCAGGAAAGATTAATAGCTCAGAATTTTTTTTTAGTTTAATTTTTCCTCATCTTCATGGAGTTTTGATATGTTTTTTCCTCCTTCTTTCCATGTGATGTATAATATTGAAAGTTAAGTTGACTAAAATCAGTTTATCATTCCATACATACATATTAATTTTTCCAACACAACTCCAGTCTTTACATGCACTGATCACTAATAATTATCTTGGCACTGTCAATAATTAGTGATTGAAAATCTGCAGTTCCAATCAATGTACTTAAATATACACGGTGGCTGTTCCACAGTAGAACTGATCTTTTCTTAGTTTTAAGGATTCATCCTGGCCACTGAAGTACTGAGGTGTGTGGGTCATATTTTGTGCCTATAGCAGTTCTAAACAGAACTTTTAATTCGTGCTGAGAGGTTTTTTTTTTATTTAATAGAGGAAATATCTTCTGTTGTAGAGTTTAGGGAAGGTTTTCTGCGGTTCTGTAATGCAAAGAGCACAAGGAATTAAAACAATAAAAAGTGACATTGTTCTCAAGCCATGCTGTGACCCAGAGGGTGAGTTGTGCCTGGCTCCTTGAAAGCCTTTCTGAAACTTAGGCAGCTGATCAACTACATATTCTATGGTTTGTTTTACATTTTTGCTCTTCTTCACTATATTCTTTTTCATTTGCCTCCCCCCAATGGAATTTTGCAGGAGTCCAAATATAGACCTTCTTTCTGCCCTAGCATGGGTTCCTAGACTAGTCCTGTTTTCCTTAGGCATCCTTAATGTGGAACTCAAGTTTCACTCATCATTAAGGAGGTAAAACATTTAATAAAATAATAAGGTCCTAACTCTTCACCTTTGTTTGTATGGCAGTGCTGCTCTCATGGATTTTAAGGCTGGAGTAGATCATGGCCATCATCCAGGCCAGTGACCTGCTGGAACAAACACAGTTATTTGTGTGACTGAAACTTGTCTAAAGCTTGCCTAGTATTAAACTTGCTCTGGTTCACTCCTTGCAGCAGAGGTGCTGTTCCCAGCCTGCTGAAGGTGGGAGAAGGCTTCAGCTACAGGAAATTTGCACAGTTAAATGAATGGTCTAATGACACCGAACAACATGGAAAGTAAATCAACGTTACTTATGTAAACAGCAGTTTAATTAGGATAATCACTGATGCAAATCGTTGTGTATGTTGTGCCTCCAACAGAAAATCCATTTCAAAAGGCTTCACAAACTTCTGGTTTTCTGTGCCTAATTTGGAATCTTTATGGTGGTGAAAGGTTTTAATTTCGGTGTTTGTTCAATTATTAGCGATTTATTGTTCTTCAAATTGCCTTAGATTTGAGGAGCCAAGAGGAGTCTCAGTCTGGGTTGTGAGTGCTGAGTGTTCTCCACTGGATGTCACATGTTTGACTGGTGGTATAATGGCAAACTGGGAGGATCACTTGGAGCAGGGCTGCTCTGAATGTTTTAGGAAGATCATTTATATCATCTCCTCAATGCTAATGACCCGCTTTCCTGTCCTGTCAAAAATATTTATGCCCTAGTTTATTAATGCTAATTAATCCAGCAATAATAAGGACTTCTTTGTGTTTTGGGTGCTGTTGTTTACTCTGTGTCCTAGTGTGATCTCTTGCATTTACATTCCTGGTTTCTTACATATTCCAAGACAGAAAATAAGCATTTTATTCTTTTGATAAAGAAATCACAGCCTTGTGGCACGCATGCCATTAGAAATATGAGTTGCTCATGGAATAAAATCTGCTTTTTCCTTGCTGGAGAGGATGAAGGTGCAGCCCCCTAAGTAATATAATGACTTTTATTCAGCTCTGAAATAGTCACTGACAGAAGAAAGAATTGAAACACTTTGGAAATGAAATGTAATCTAATCTATGGCTGTTACAAAAACAATCAATTCATTGTGCCCTCCAAACTGAGTGCTTTTGGTTTATTACCTATGATGCCCTTGCTGTCTCACTGCTAGTTTATTTTCCTTGGGTGTTACTCTCTGCCTGTGCCACTGAAGTGCCTTTTCTGTTTGAAATCAGCCTTGAAATTTATTTGTGATGTTCTTTTTTTTTTTTTTTTATTATTGCTTTTTAAAATATGTCAGGTACAGTTCTCCTCTCTGGACTCTGTGGCTCTAGCAAATGTCAAATATGATTAACTAATTTCCTGAGCAGGAAGAACCCCAATGTGGTCGCTCTCAGATTTTTGCAAGATCAGCATACAAACACTGGCTAATGTCACTCTGTTCTGAGAGCACCCTCTAAATATTAATGTCTGTCAGACTGGCTTTTTATTTTATTCTTTTACTGTTATGTAGTTAGGGAGAAATTCAGTCAAGGTTTTGTAGAGAACTCACTGCTCAAAAGATCCTCCTCTTGCACAAAAGAGACAGTTCATTTTTTCCACTGTGTGGATTACACAACTTTCTCACTTTAAATGATTTCTTTCTCTGATAGAGGACAAAATTAATAGTTTCTGGGGGGAGAATGTCATCTGTGTTTAATGAAAACATGAATTAATTTCTGGGCATTCTACTGAACAGGTATTCTGACTTAAATGTGACTTATTTTACAGTGGCAGCTTCTGTAGGAGATGTCACCTGCTGTGCTCGTGACCGATGGCTCTGACCTTGTCACTAAACTGCAAGAGGCCTTTACTTAAACAGGCCTTGCAGTAAAGGATCTCTTTTGTATGTTCCAAAGACATTTTCCAAACCCTGGTGCTATTCTTAATTTCTTGATGTCGAGGATCAGTTTTGTACTTCCTTAAGAAAAAAAAAAAATTCAGGAAATCACCTGTTCAGCTGTATCCCATTTATTTCCCAGATATTTTTCTTCAGTTTCATAACCTCCCCTGATGTTTGTGTCATGTTTAATGGAAATATGAAAATACACTGTGCAGAGCTGTCTCGAGAGTATGATTATCCTAGATTTTTTTGATGATAAAGTCATTCTTGCCATTTATTACTGTGTTTATCTCACTATCCCTGTTCTGAGGTTATGATTATGTGACAGGGTGGTTTAAGAGGGTCAGGAACTCTGTGCACAGGCCTATGGAGAGGCTGGATGGGAGGGTGCTGGTGCTGCAGCTATCACTGATCAGAAAATAATGACTGTTCTTCAGGCTTGCTGTAACATATCTCAGTTTCCACTGCTGTGAGCAACTGGATTATGTTCCTCAGGGATTCATTACTCAGGGCTGTCGGTGCCCTTTGCATTCTGTGGAGTGAGTTTAGTGCTTATCAAAAGCAGCACGTAACAAAC